TGATTTTTTGTAGTGAGTTGTTTAAATTCCTTTCTCATTTCCTTTTGTGTATATTATACAGCTATTTTCTTTGTGGTTACCATGGGATTACATTTAAGAGTCTAACTTTATAATGCTCTCATTTGAATTTATACTTTCAGTAACATACAGAAACTCTGCTCCTTTACAGCTCTGTCCTTACCCCTTTTGGTTACTGATATTACAGAATATCATCTTTACACATTGTGTGCCCCAAAACAAACAATTCTTTTAAATTCACTATTCTAAATTATGTAGAAAACAAAGTGTGGAGTCACAAACCAAAGATACAGTAATACTAGTTTTCACACTAACAATTTTTTCTTTAAATGTATCGGTCTCATGTAGAAAACAAAAGGTACAGTTACAAGCCATTGGGAGATGGGGAGTTGCTACTGTGCTAACAGCTGAAATTGATCAAAGCGAAGGTAATTTATTCTCTGGGTCTTCCCCTGGAAGCTGCAGAGCCTTCAGCAAATCTCAGAGTTCCAAAACAGTTACATTAGACAGATTCTGCCAGTGCAATTGTCCTCTAGGTGGGGAGACAGATTTCCTGGTGCTTCCTACTCTGCCATCTTCCTAGAATCCTCTCCCTGCAACCCCTAACACTTACATATCATTTGACTACGTCCCACCATCCCCCCCTCCCCCAGGTCAAGCTGTCAGATAAGACCACAGCCCCGGGCAACAGCTTGACTGTAACCTTGTGAGAGACCTTGACAAAGATGCTCTCCTTGTCCAAACTTCAGTAAGCCTCCTCTGAGCCCTTTTCCTGATGAGGCCTTGACCTTGGTCCCCTGTCCTTGCCAGGCCTGCATAGCCCAAGTGTAACAAGAATTCTGCTAAGTCAGTTTAGCAAGAATCTCCTCACCCTTGATATCTGATCATATTCTTCATTCTCTACCCTTGATATCCGATCACCCTGGACTGCCTTCAGCAAGAATCCTGTTAGGTCAGTTTAGCAAGAATCGCCCTACCCTAGGTGTCTCCTCTTAGTAATATCTTTTTTTTTCATCTGCTAACCCCCTCATTCCACTTGTTGGCTACAAGTTCCTAGCTGTCTTTGCTGGATTTAGAGTTGAGCCCAATCTTTCTCACTTCGTGATAGCCTGGACACCTATTGCAAGAGTCCTACTGAAGTCTTCCTTACCACGTTAACAAGTGCCAGAATATTTGTGCTTTAACATCCCTGAGCTAGAGGCACTCAGCAAAGCCATCCCCAGACTGCTGACCCATAGAAACGATGAGATAATAACTGTTTGTTGTTTTGATCCTTAAATGTGAGGGTAACTTGCTATGCAGAACTAGAAACTAATGTATAGTGCTCACACTCTCCTTTCGTAGCTGGGGCTCTCTTACTTCCATTGCCTGGAGTGTTGGCTGCTTAGCAGTTGCTGTTTCCAGAAGTCTTTCTCCAGTGACTGCCTTGGGTAAAGAGAACTACCTTGCCTAAAAGATATACCCCTTCCCCAGGCAGTCTGCCAGCGAGGATTTGTCCATGCAGGAATATAAAGGCCTGGCTCCTTGGCCTCCATTGTGGGACAACTCAGCTCTACAGGGCCCTGAAGGGTCCACCGAGATCTCTGCTACAGCTGCGTCACAGTTCAGCTTCTCCCTCCCCCATTCCTGGTGCTCTCACCTCCATAAGGGGGTTTGTACCAGGGTCTGTCTCCAACACACCTCCTAAATGCAAATCTCTGCCTCAGAGCCTGCTTTCCGGGGAACCTGGCCTCAGCCACTATGTGACCTTGAGCAAATACTTTACCTTTCTTTATCCTGGTTTCTTTGTCAGCAAAATGGGAGAAACACCAGTGTCCATCCCAGAGCATTGTTGTGAGGATTAAATGAGTTTAGGTCCTTGGCATGGTGCCTGCCATATGGTCAGCACATATACATAGTTGCTGTTATTATTATTTCTATTATCTATCAAAAGGACATTCTAAGCTCCCTTGCCCTCACCTCAACAAACCAGCTAGTGCCAAGATCTTGAGGTAGCCACAAACTTGGCATGCTAGAGAGATAGAGCGGGGGTGGGGGTGGGGGTGGGGGTGCATGAGGCCAAAGGAGGAGAGCAGCAGGAGATGAGGTCAGAGAAGCAGGCAGGGCCCTGCTGGGCCCACGTGGGCCTTGGATGTTAGGGTGAAGAGTTAGGATTTAAATCTAAGGGAGGTGGGGAGCCATGGCAGATTGGGAGCAAATAAGTTACACAAGTTGCTTTGGGGTTCTAAAAGCCCAGCCTGGGGGTGCCTGGGTGGCTCAGTTGGTTAAGCGTCTGCCTTAGGCTCAGGTCAGGATCCCAGGGTCTTGGGATAGAGTCCCGCATCGGGCTCCCTGCTCAGTGGGGAGTCTGCTTCTCCCTCTCCTTCTGTCCCTCCCCCCACTTGTATTCTCTATCAAATAAATAAATAAAATATTTAAAAAATAATAATAAAAGCCCAGCCTGGCTTGCTGGGAGAGTCAGGGAAACAGCAGCGAGTGAAGTGAGGGAGACTACAGGAGTGATGTTCATGAAATGGGAGCGTGGGGACAGGTTTTGGTGGGAGAGTCACCCAGGTGCCCCAAAATTCTTTTTTTTTTTAATGCTTTATAGTTTTCAAAATGATTTCACATAAATGAGCTCATTCGATCCACAGCCTCATAAAACAGATGGGATTATCATCATTTTACAGATGAGGAAAGACGGAAGTCATAACCATTCTCCTAAGTGTCACTAAAAATTCTTCTTAATATTAAACACAAATATTCATGGCGTCTGTATATTCAATTTTATCCATGCCCCCATTTTTAGTCATTTTCTTATTGGCTACTTCTCAAATTAGGTTGGTCCCAACTTTACACAACTGAAAATACCACTGGCTGGAACATCATCATATATATATCTTTGTCTAAATATTTGTTTCCTTAGGATCTGTTACTAGAAGTGGAATTACTGAACTAAAACCTTAAACCTTCCCTATTCTGAATAGAGCTGAAACAGTATAGGATGTTTAAAGGTCTATTCCCACCCACTCCCCCAGCTTGCGGTAGGTCAGTCTTAGTACTTGACCAAACTGGTCACTAAAATTAGATAGCAGTTATGTGTTGGGTTTTGCGGGACCTGCTGGTTTTATCCAAGAAGGCTTGGTGCATTAGTCCTTTTCCTGCAAATTCCTTGTTTTTTCCTATCACCTTGGCCCAGCCCAGCTTGGACGAAATGCTAATTTACAAAGTATATTATTAGATATGAGAAGAAGGGGGCAAAGGACAGGAAGATCAGTACGAGTAAGTAGCAGCACAGTGGCTTTAGATTTATTTATTAGTTTACAACAAAGACTTAAAGTACCTACTAGTTGGGTGGTGGAAATTTCGCAAAAGTTGCATCACGGAGACTTTCTGAGAATTGAGCTGGAGTAGCCAAGATGGAGCTCCGGAGAGACAAAGATGGAGAAAATGCATTTAAGGACTTCACAGCATAGTAACAGGTAATTATCAAACATTACCCCTAAGGAGTTTAATGGGCATCTCAAATTTGACATGTCCAAAACAAAAATCTTGATCTTCTTCCTAAACCTGTTTTTCTTTCTCTCTGACTTCCCTATTTTAATAAGCAGCACAGCCACTCACCTAGTTACTCAAGCCAAAAATCTAGGACTCATCCTTTACTCCGCTCTATGTTGTTGATAGGATTCCAGCCGTTCACTAAATCCTTTAGAATCTACCCACACAATATCGAAATATCATAACTCCATCCTGGTGCAAGCACCGTCATTGTCATCTATAAAGTCTCCGAACCTGCCTACCCTCATCCACTCTCAACTCTCTAATCCCTTCTCCAAAAAGCAGCCAGATTGGTTTTGTATACATTAGACCATGACAGCTCCCTGGTTAACACCCTCTGATGGTTTTCCATTTCACTTAGAATAAAATTCAAAATTCTTTTCATGCTCTGCATTTATGTTCCTCTGCATTATCTGGCCCTCACCTCCTCCTATTCTTCCCCTGGCTCACTCACCTGCTACACCGACCACAGGTCCCTCTGCTTAAGTTGCTCCAGGGCGCTTTGCATGGTTCTCACTTCTTCAGAACTCATTTTTTTTTTTTTTTTTTTTTAAATCGTACTCTCAGGCTTGCCTCACCTGGGCATCCGACCTAACATAGCCATGCGTCCCATCACCACTGCCACTTCCTAATCCCTTACACTTCCTTTTGTTTCTTCTCAGCACTTCTTTCTCTAATATCGTATTTGCGTGCTCATCGTTCATTGTGTCTCTGTCCTACTCGCTACTATGTCAGGTACCATTAGCGCAGGAACTTGATGTGTGCCCCGTTCTATCGCACCGCCTGGAAACACAGAGACGTTTATTGTTTGTTGAATGAATGATGAATGCATGCTTGTCACAACACTAATTATTTTACTGATTTATTCATTTGTTTAGCATATCTCCCCCAGGTGAGTGTGAACTCCGTGAAGACTGGGATCGTGCCCATTTTGTTCACTGTTATATCCCCTAAGCTTTTTTTTTTTTTTTAAGATTTTTATTTATTTGACAGAGAGAGACACAGCGAGAGAGGGAACACAAGCAGAGGGAGAGGGAGAAGCAGGCCTCCCGCGAAGCGGGGAGCCCGATGTGGGGCTCGATCCCAGGACTCTGGGATCATGACCTGAGCCGAAGGCAGATGCTTAACCACTGAGCCACCCAGGCGCCCCTATCCCCTAAGCTTTGAACAGAGCTATAACAGTGACAAGTGCAAAGCTATTGTTAAAGCGAGGTGGGCGCAACTAAACCGACCTAAGGAGCTATGGGAGTACTCACAGATGAAACTGCACCTAAACAAGTACTGAAAAGGGGCGAAAACCAAGAGGACAGAGAAAGGTAAGAGTCCCGGCAGAGGCAATCTCGCGAGGTGTTGGGCAACCAAGATGGCTTCCAGCACTTGCCGCCACACCTAATATGGCGACCAGGGAGCGTTCCTGGAGGAAATTACGCGAGAGTTGCATCACGGCTATAGTCCGTGAATTGAGCCGGGGGTGTGGAGCAGCCAAGATGGAGCCGGCAGCCGGCGGACCCGGGCCACTGATCATGAACAACAAACAGCCCCAGCCGCCACCACCTCCGCCACCGGCAACCGCGCAGCCTCCACCCGGAGCCCCGCGGGTCGGCGGGGGCCTCCTGCCCGGGGGCAAAGCCCGGGAGTTCAACCGCAACCAGCGCAAAGACTCGGAGGTCAGGAGCTTCGGGGGGCGCGTATAGCACCGGGCGGGTGGCCGCGGGGGACCCGGGTTCGGGGCCGCTTTCGGGTTCCAGCTGGGCTTCCCGGAGGGTTGGAAAGGGCCCGGTGGGAGAGTTGTCATTTTACAGCGAAAGGAGCAGGAAGCAAGGCTGGCGGCCCCGGTGCCAGGGGCGTGAAGCCGGGGTCCCATCCCGAGCTCGCCGTTTGCCAGAACCTCCCGGGGCCGGCGACTCCTCGTTTGCTTCTCTGGGGCCGGGGCTGAGGGTGCGGCCTCCAGGCCCCAGCCCCTGGGGAAGCCGCTCCCGGCCCCAGTTCGGGGGTGAGGAGTCAGTGGTCTGCGTGCGCTCCAGGGGGCGGGCGGCTGCACCCCGACCCCTAATCATCTCTGTGGGCTTGTCCTGTGGGCTCCGCAGCGTGCGGTGGGCTGCGTGTGTGGGCAGGGAAGGGAGCTGGAAGCCGGACGGAGCTAATCATCACTAATAGTACTACGCGCCCGGAGATTTTGAGAGTAGGAGGGAGTACCATTCCCCGTTCAGTCTGACCTTAGCTATTTACAGGTCCAGGCCTGTAAACACACACACACTGTAATCAAGCATTAGGGCTCAACATTCCCTTTCTTGCTAGTGGGCTGTTCCTCCGGTTGTCTGAAGCTGACTAGTCACCTCACCCCGAGTTAAAGAATTCCTCCCACTCCCTCCCAATGTAGTTTTCATGAATGAAGACACACACGTCGCAGCATTTTAGGGCTTCTTGATCAGTACGTTCCCAGAGTATTTACTGTGAGGTCTCCTTCACCAGCGATAACTCAGAGGCTGATCAGCAGTGAGGCGCTTATTAATGAGAGGGAATTCCTCCTTGTCCAGAAGCAGTATACTAGGTCATTCCAAAGGCTGATAGTGAAATCATTTCCTCTCAAGCTTTGGTATTTTGTTGGCAAGTGCAAAGCTCTGGTAAAACGTGTCAAAATTTGGCAAGTCCAAAATAGAGGTACTCTGAGCTTAAGGTGAATTATTTGAAAAAGCAATGAAACTGACTTTTTAGGAGCCTTTGCCTGGTGGGGTGATGAAGGATTATGAAAGTGGTGGGGGTGAACCCACCTTCATCAGGAGAGGAGTTACAGTTTAAAAACAGTTTAAAATTTTCTTAGGTAGCCTTGAAAGAGCAAATAAATACCCTTATGCGATTTAAATTTCTCCTTCTACCGTTTAATTTCCATATAGACACAACATGTGGAAGGCTAGCCAGTGAACACATTTAAGCTGAGAGATCTGTTTCAGTTTATTTTCTTAGAGATGTTGGTGCTGCACTCAGCTCTTTGGAGCCTAGCTGGAATCAGTAGGCTAGGAGCTTGAGCAATGCCTGGGAGCCATCTCTTGATGAGAGCCCCCTTTGCACTACATAATTCTGATTAGTCCTTAAAAACCTTCAAGATAGATTTTCGTCATCCCCATTCCATAAATGAACTGAAGCTCAGTAACTTATGAAAGTATACACACTCTGTTGCCTCTGACAGTGTAGATAGAGTTCTTCATGTTTTTCAGTGTCTGTGGGTTTGTTATGTCATTTTGTGGCTGGTCTTTGTCTTCCCAAGTAGCTTGTAATTAAGCCTGAGGACTTTACCTACTTCATCACCTCTTCTCTCTTCCCAGCACAAGGCTCTCAAGATGGTGTGTTCTCGGTGATCACCTATCCCCAGCAGTGAAAAGATTCTCTTTGTCACATTCTTTCCTGTGTGTGGGAGGGAAACCATTCTGTTAGGCTGCCGCCTTCTCTGTCAGTTCTCACTGAAATTTGAGAGAAGGGCAGGAAAGCTGAGAATGTCAGTACTCATATTGTCCTGAGCTGTTGATAGCCTACTACTAGCCAGAAAGAAGTGAGGCTTCCGGCATCTCAGCACCATGTGGAACGGGTCATTCACTGCACAGAATACATAGAAGCTCTGTGTTCATTTATCTAACAAGCGTTTATTTGACTGTAAACTCTTCATTCATTCATTCAGGCGAGGTAGCATGCTGGGCATTGTGAAGTTACTGGTGAGCAGAGTGGACAAAGTTCTCCTTCTCAAGGAACTTGCAGTCTCATGGAGAGGCAGACAGGAAACACATACCCATGCTGGTACATAATGAGAAGTTGTGCTCTTAAAGGAAAGTGGAAGGTGCTCTGCAAGGGCTTAATAGGGAAACCTGAGCTAGCCCCGGAGACAAAAAGTGATAAAAGCTCAGAAAGGGGAGGCAATGGTGTCTTGTAACGCAGCAGCGTCTCTGGACGCATATGTATCTCTTCCTTTGGAAAGCACTCACAGTGGTCTTTGGCATTACTGCCTCCTTTTCTCCGCAGGGCTATTCCGAGTCGCCAGACCTAGAGTTTGAATATGCTGACACAGACAAGTGGGCTGCAGAGCTCGCGGGTAAAGCACAGACCTTCTTACTATTTCGAGGTGTTTGTTTTCTGTATTGGTCTTTAATAAAATTAAGAGTCAGTGTCATTTTGGAGTTCATTTTTTCCTTTGGTTAGCTAGTAATGATATATATACATATATAGAATCGTATAAGCATGTGCATATAAACATGTTAGTTATGGGACTGAAGCTTTGTGTATCTCATACCTTTGGCTTTTCCTTTACTTTGGTGAAGCACCTCTGCTGTGTGGTCAGCTCAGTCGGCGGTGGCCCAGTCGCAGACAGTGACGCTCCTTGGCCATACGCTCTCCTCCCGACAGTGGTCTCTCCTAGAGCAGTAGGTCATGCCTGCATCTGTGCACGTCTGCCGCTGCCCCTCACATGTCACGTGAGGCTAGCCCGAGCTGCTTCTCAGGCCTCCACAGTGCAGGTCCTAGTTAGGAGGTCATGGCCACTTGAGAGACACATGTCCATGGTGGCAGTCCACCTCGTGTGGCATGGTGGGATTGATGTGCACTGGACTGGAAATGCCTGGATTTATGTGTAACGGGCATTCTGATTATCTGCTGCAAGGGGAGTCAGCACTCTCTCCATTATGCACGTCGGAGCGCTAAGATCCCCTTAGTAACTGGATAGTCCAGGAGTCACTGTGACTCAGGGACAGAGTGGGGCCTAGAGGCAACTGCCTTATATTCTCTGCTGCGTATGAGACCCGCTATGGCACGTGGACATGGAGCTGATGAGACTTTGTTCTTGATAGAGCTTTACAGCTACACAGAAGGGCCAGAATTCCTGATGAATCGAAAATGCTTTGAGGAGGACTTCCGGATCCACGGTGAGATGATTCTCTGCACTTCTTGGTTCCTTTGACCCTTGCCGTGACAGCTGCAGGGCTTCTCTTGGTCACCCGAGTGCCTTGAGTCGTCCTGGCCTGGCCTGAGAAACCTGCCGAACCATGACTGCTCCAGGCCGCATGTGACCTTTAGGGTGGGCTTGCTGGGGCTCTGGTGGTGGCTTTTCAGAGTGTGAGTACTGGGGGGAAAAGCTTTCTGTGATTAAAATTGCACCAAAAATAGCAGTGTTTCAGTCTGGAAATTCGTAGAGCAGCAGCGTGACCTAGAGAGTAACTTTTCTTTCTGAGTTTTCTGGTCTTGTGGCAGTCTTGAATTTGGTGAGTTAACATTGTGTTCATTTCATTGTGAGGATTTTTCTGGGCTCAGGTGTAACTGGTCTCTTGCCCTACAGTAACAGATAAGAAATGGACCGAGCTGGATACCAACCAGCACCGTACCCATGCCATGAGGCTCCTGGATGGCCTGGAAGTCACTGCCAGGGAGAAAAGACTCAAGGTGGCTCGAGCAATTCTCTACGTCGCCCAAGGTACTGAGCCGGCCCCCAGGCCCTCTGATGCCGCCTTCGGTGACGTTGTCCAGCCCGATAGTGGGAGGGACTCTGTGAGCTGTGCCCTGTGTTTGCAGGCACCTTTGGAGAGTGCAGCTCGGAGGCAGATGTGCAGTCCTGGATGCGCTACAACATCTTTCTGCTCCTGGAGGTGGGCACGTTCAATGCGTTGGTGGAGCTTCTGAACATGGAGATAGAGTGAGTTGTTCTGAGGAGCTGGAGTAGGGAAGGGGAGGCAGGGGGCGAGGGGACAGAGCTGGCAGAACTCAGTGGTTTTGAGAAGGGTGAATGGGCCAACTGGGGCTGATGGTGTGGTCCCAGGCTCTATTCTGACCACTCAGGTTGAACTGTGGCCTCTCGGGCAGTCGAAGCACTCATCATAGAGTTTCAGTCCCCCCACTGGGCGGCCCTTGTCAGGGCAACTCCTCGTCTTCCTTCCTGGGGGAAGGCCTGACTCCCAAATCTCTCCTGCAGCAACAGTGCGGCGTGCAGCAGCGCGGTGAGGAAGCCGGCCATCTCCCTGGCCGACAGCACAGACCTGAGGTGAGGCATGCAGCAAGCCTGGGCTCCCTGAGAATGAGATCAGAGCCGGGAGCGGGAGGGCGTCTTCGGGGGCCCTCGCTGTGTGTGTGCGCCTTCTGCGCATGCCGATCTCCATCTGCCCCGAGTCGGCCCTGCAGGGGGCTCTCCCTCAGTGGGGCTCTGGGCTGAGACCCCACCCACAGGAAATCTAGGGTGAGCCACTTGATAGAGCCACTGTGACATGTGGCCTCCTGCCCACACTGCTGCTGGCGATACTTTGTGCTTGGTGAAACACACGACGTGGCTCCTTGGCTCCACCTTCGGGTGCACAGCTTGACCCCTGACTCCTTCATGATATTCTGTGGCCTCACAGGAAGTAATAGCAACTGCTGAACAGTGAGATCCCATTTTTGTGAGGCTTAGCATCTGTCTCTGTGAGTTTGGGAGTTTTCAGACCGGGCGTTCGTGGCGTTCCCCACTGCGGTCAGGTCCCTGGGCGCTGCCTGCTGGCTCCCGATTTCCGCTCCTTCACGGTGGCACTTGCTTGTTCTTGCTTTGACCCTGCGCTGCTTCATCTGATCCGGCACCTACTTCCGCAGCTCACTCCCACCTCTGAGCTCCTCTTGCTCCAGGAAGCTTAGGGCCAGAAATGCTTTGGGCCATTCTTGTTCATATTTAATCCATTCAACCATTGATGAAGCACCTGCTTTGATAAGCACTTAGCTTGATGCTGGAATGCAAAGCAGAGTAAGATCTGGTCATGCCCTTAATAGCAGAGGACAAGAAAGGGCACCCCACGGGGCGCTCTGTGGGACTTTTAGTTTTCTCTGCGTCACAGCCCTCTGCCACCGACTAGCCTTTGTGCACGTGCTTTCCTCCTGTTAGCTGGACTGTGGAGAAGCCAGGACACTCCCTTGCTTCCCCATTCTGCACCATTATGAGTTGGCTTTTGTTCCCAGGGTCCTGCTTAACATCATGTACCTGATTGTGGAGACTGTTCACCAGGAGTGTGAGGGCGATAAGGCTGAGTGGAGGACCATGCGACAGACCTTCAGGGCTGAGCTGGGTAGGGCCCTGCAGATCCTGGGGTTTTGAGGCCCTGCCTGGGAGCTGAGGCTCCTGGCCTTGGGGAGGGTCTTGTTCCTGCTGGTCCTGATCCCTTTGTGTTACCTCTAGGTTCCCCCCTGTACAACAACGAACCATTTGCCATCATGCTGTTTGGGATGGTGACCAAATTTTGCAGCGGCCATGCCCCTCACTTCCCCATGAAGAAAGTTCTCTTGCTGCTCTGGAAGACCGTGTTGGTGAGCACCTCCTTGAAGGGGAACTCAGCTGCTAGGGGTCAGGGCAGGAGAGAGACTTTGCACTGCATATCCTTTTAAATGTTGAATTATGTGAAAAACTATATATAATTTAATATATAACTAACCTATAAACTTTGGTTTAAAACAAAACAAAACAGCAGTTTTGCCTCACTATAGCCAAAGAGGACTTGGCCCGTGGGTCAGAATAGACTGTTGGCTCCCTGACTCCTGCAAGCTGCTTCTCTAGTCATAAAACGCCTTCTCCCCAGACAGGCTGCTTCCGAACCTGGAGTATATGAAGGCAGAAGTAGAGCTGGTGTAATTGGGTCCCCTCAGGCAGAGGTCCCTTGAAGGAAGCAAGAGCGAGCCTTGTGCTCGTGCCTCTCCCCGGGGAGGGTGTAGAGCCTGTTTCTGGCTGGGGAAGGATTGGCTAGCACCCTTGGCCCGGGGGCCATTGTCAGTAGCGATGCCCAGTGCCCTTCCCACTTGGAGGAGTGACCTCAGCAGAGAGTGGAGCTGTAGGTGGGATTCCTTGTCCCCTCGGGGCTCCCGTCCTCCTTGCAGAGCAGGGCAGCTCTGCGGAGCCAGGCTCAGTGAGTTTGGCGCCTCTTTAGAGTGCTGTGCACATTTTGTTTTGGTCAGACATCCTCTTGGTTCCTCACAAAGCCTCACTGAAGCCAGAGATAAAAGCTGAATACCACTGGGGTTTTGGCTTCTAGGGGCATGTTGAGAGGAAACTTTTTTTTGGAGTATCTAAAAGTGTATCCCCAGTTTGAAAGACTGGCATGTACGGCCTTTGGAGCATGTGAGTCTCACAGACTTGTCTAGGAACCTGAAGGGGTAGGCTCTTCAGACTGCCTTCTCGACCAAGAGTGTATCATACATACAGAGTTAAGCATGTCCACTAGCTCAGTCAGCCTGCATGTCTCCTTCCCTTGGTCTCTTTTCTCTGCTCCCACGTTGGCGTCACTGGATCCTCATGTGATCAATCGCTTGTTCAGAGACTGGTGCGGGTTGTGGTGTCCCAGAGGGCTCGGGGACCCACTCGTGGAGGTGTTGAGCCCGGCCCCGTCCCTTGTCCACGATGCAGTGCACACTGGGCGGCTTTGAGGAGCTACAGAGCATGAAGGCTGAGAAGCGCACCATCCTGGGCCTCCCCCCGCTGCCTGAGGACAGCATCAAGGTGATCCGCAACATGAGGGCTGCCTCTCCGCCGGCATCTGCCTCGGACCTGATTGAGCAGCAGCAGAAGCGGGGCCGTCGGGAGCACAAGGTGAGGGTGACGGATGTCCCCTGTGAGTCCCGAGGGTCTCAAGGTGCACAGCACATGGCAGCATGATCCCTGGGTGAGCAGGGTTGTTGGAAATCATCGCTGACCAGCTAGTCCAAATGAAGGCCTCTGGGCCAGGGACACTGTGTCTCTAGCCCAGGGTCCAGCTTATCGTGGGTACTCACAACATGGCACTTTTGAGGCACTGGGACAAGAAAGGCTTTGTCTTTTGGGCCCAGCCTTGACTTCCTCTCAGGTTTTTCCCCTGCCCTTGGCCCTGCCTACCACCTTTCTGTGTTACAGCCTCTCTAGCCTCCTTGCCCTTTATGGTTGCTCGGTTGGCGCTTGTCTGATTTCCCTTCCCCGTTTTCAGGCGCTGATAAAACAGGACAACTTGGATGCCTTCAACGAGCGGGATCCCTACAAAGCTGATGACTCTCGAGAAGAGGAAGAGGAGAATGATGATGACAACAGTCTGGAGGGGGAGACATTCCCCCTTGAGCGGGATGAAGTGATGCCTCCCCCATTACAGCACCCTCAGACTGACAGGCTCACCTGCCCCAAAGGGCTTCCGTGGGCTCCCAAGGTCAGGTGAGGCTCAGACTTCTGGCACGCTTCTGGCTCCTGAAACCAGAGGCCTCCCACCCCCAGGCCTGGCACCTGGTCTGAGTCACCACAGGAGGTTCTCTGTGGGGCCAGGCTGACTTTGGCTCTGGGATGGAGCTCTCATAAAGTACCCTCTGTTGGCCCAGAGGTCTCGGGGTGCTGGACTTGCTCAGAGAGATCCATGTATGGCTCTTGAGTCAGTAATAATGAGTTAGCTCTTGGTCAGCCATACTATCATGAAGTGGGAATAGGGAAAAATGAAAACCAGGACATTTAACTGAACCCATCTCCACTCATGGTGGAGTTGTATGTGGTTTTTAACAGAAAAATTAAAGATTAAGGAAGAGTTTTTAGAATCATAATTAAGTTGTTTGAGATATGTGCGCATGAATCAATGGGTAGGAAGGTACCTGGATATATAGAAATGGTATCTGTTTGAAAAGGCACCAATTAGGGGCACCTGGGTGGCTTAGCCAGTTAAGGGTCTGCCTTCGGCTCAGGTCATGATCTCGGGGTCCTGGGATCGAGCCCCGCATCAGGCTCCCTGCTCAGCGGGAAGCCTGCTTCTCTCTCTCTCCCTCTGCCCCTCCCCCTGCTCGTGCTCTCTCGCTTGCTGTCTCTCTCTCTGATGGATAAATAAAATCTTTAAAAAAAAAAAAAAGGCACCAACTTAAGAAATAGGTGGACACGTGAAAGGATACAGAAGTCAGTTTCTCGATCTGAAACCCCAGTTTTCAGTGATCTGTGACGGCAGTACAGAACTAGTCCTCATGCAAGGTGTGCCAGTTGTTTAAAACGGACCCAGGACACACATGAAAATATCTGTGGTTGATAGGTCTAATTGTTGTAATAACTTTAAATATTTGAGAAATTCTTTTGAAAACAGATTTGTTAGTTGAATAAAGTATGCTTTTCAGTTTGAGGTAGCACCTTAATTTTACAGGTAAACTAGTTACACATAGTTTCAGGTTATTGATCCAACAATATTATAAAGGATGTTAAAATAGTCTGAAGATTTTAGTTCATTTGTTCATTTTTTCTGTTTATCTTTCCTTTTTTTTTTTTTTTTTACCTAAAAAGAAAAACAATGGTGGGAGACATTTTCTTCTGGCTTCACAGTTTCTGGGCATTCTATGTTTTATTGACCATGACACCTTGAAATAACATTTAATAAAAACCTCGTTCTTTCTCTTGGACAGAGAGAAAGACATTGAGATGTTCCTGGAGTCCAGCCGCAGCAAGTTTATAGGTTACACTCTAGGCAGGTGAGTGTGATCTGACATCCTTTTGAAGAAAGGTAACGGGAGTTCATTCTCCTGGCCTTTGGTGTTTAGGGATTGAGGCGAATTGCTGTCTAGGCTTAACACAGGGTTTTCTTTATTCTCCAGTGACACGAACACAGTGGTGGGGCTGCCCAGGCCAATCCACGAAAGCATCAAGACTCTGAAACAGGTAGGTGGCTTTGGATGAGCTTTTGACCTACTTTGGTCCCAAGTGAGTAAAGTGAGAGCAGTCAGTTGGGAGAAACCTTTTGAAGACTGTTGTCTGCCTGAAGGAACCTGGGGTGGAGGCATAGGTGGACCATGGCGATACCCTTTAATACAGCTCTTTGTAAGTTCTATTTATTTTAGCTGAGTTTTTGTTGGGGACTTAACTGAGAGTTTATTAAAGATAGTACTTGATAGGTGGAGTTTTAAAGGGCCTGATAAATAACCCTCCCTTTTCCAAGTCCAAGTTCTAAGACAGTTGAGATAGAGGAGTAGGCAGATGGTAATCAAATCAGCTTTATTGCTGATAGAGTGACTGGACAATGAGGCATAAGAAAGAACACAGCAGTGATATGCACCCTAATGCTTTACTTCCAGAATTAGGTGGACTCATCTACCCAGGGTCAGGCAGTGCTGGAACCCTGCTAAGCCTGGTTGAGGAGCAGAAAAGAACATAGGCTTTTCTTTTTTCTAAAGCGAAAAGAGAAGGTGGTTGGGCTCAGAAAGTCCTGTTCCTCCCCTGATACTCACTAGTCGGCGAAGGGAGGAGTGGGTGTGTGGAAAGGGGCAGGGGAGAGTGGAGGTTTTTTACACGTGCATATCCCTCCATGTGGGAGGAAACATCAAGAGTGGGGAAGAGGTGTCTCCCCTGACAAGATGTCAGGAGTGGAAATTTTGATATGTTTTTGAAATCTATTTTTGAGATTTGTAGTATAAGTGAGTTAGGTGGGCCCTGTGCTGCTAGGCATTTCTGAATCCTTGACCCTCCCTCTAATAGTTTTCCCCTGTCTCTATGGTTATCTGAAAAGCCCCTTTCCTTTGTTTTTTTTTCCTAATCTGTCGTGTGCTTTTTAGACTGGGTTTAAGAAATATATGCCCACTGGGCCACTGGGGTGGCTCAGTTGGTTAAGTGTCTGCCTTGGGCTTAGGTCATGATCCCAGGGTCCTGGGATCGGGTTGTGCATTGTGTTTCCTGCTCAGTGGGGAGTCTGCTCCCTCTCCCTCTGCCCCCACTCCCGCGTCCCTGGCTCATGCTCACTCTATCTCAAGTGAATGAATAAAATCTTTAGAAAAAATTAAAAAAGAAAAAAAAAGAAATATGTGCCCACTTAGAAGAATATTTCAGGATTTAAGTTAGGGATCTTTGTGGTGACTTAGCCCTCTTTGAGGAGATTGTGTCTGAAGAAAATCAAGTGGGGTCTTTGCCAGGGTGTGGGGCTTTGGCCAGAGAATGAGAGGTGTTTCTCTGCTCTCTCTCCAGCACAAGTACACGTCGATTGCAGAGGTCCAGGCACAGATGGAGGAGGAGTACCTTCGCTCTCCGCTCTCGGGGGTGAGTCCGAGGCCTTCTCTAGCCACCGGACCCCCAGCCGTTCCCAGGCACTGCGCTGGGCCCAGACCGCAAAGCTGCCCCAGGCCCTGCCCTCAAAGCTCCCAGTCCCGCTCCCACTGCAGGGGTGGCGTGTGTCTGTGTGGGGGTCCAGAGTGCAGACTCTGAGCCTGTCACCTGCCCCTGACTCCCAGCTCCACCACTCAGTAGGTGGCCACTTAGGCAAGTTACCGGCTCTCTCTGTGCTTTAGTTTTCTCACCCGTAGAATGGGAATAATAATAGTACCTTCTTCACAGAGTTGTAGTGTGGATTAACTGAGTTACTACAGGTCAAGTGCCTCACATGTTGTATTATTCAAGGTTTGCTGTCGTTATTTACATCGGTACTTACAGATGCTCCTCTAGCCACCTAGCGAGCTGGCTCAGGAGACCAGTCGGGACAGGGGTTTGCATTTGTATCTATTGTGTTGAAAGGGAGAAGAGGAAGTTGAGCAAGTACCTGCAGAAACCCTCTATCAAGGCTTGCTTCCCAGCCTACCTCAGTATATGGTGAGTGCTCTTGCTTTTGGGGTGTTGCCTCCTCCTCAGGAGTACTCTGGGTCTGGGACCGTTCCCAGTACACTGGCCTTGAGAGCACGCCCTTCCAGTGTCCTTCAGCCCCTCCTGCCACCCACCTGAGCTCCTCCGGAAGGTCTGCCTCTCAGGGCTCAGCTCTGCTTCTCCCCAGATCGCACTGCTGAAGATCCTGCTGGCCGCAGCCCCCACCTCAAAGGCCAAAACGGACTCGATCAACATCCTAGCAGATGTCCTGCCTGAGGAGATGCCGTGAGTAGTGTTCCCGTGAATGGAGCAGGTCAGGGGCCGCAGGGTAGAGGGGAAAGGGAAGTGTTTTCCTCTCGGTCCCAGTCTTGCCAGGTTGTTTCTCTATTTGGCTCAGTTTCTCTGTAGGTTAAGTTTAGGGTATTCCTGGCTCAGAAGAAAGAAACTATCAGATTAAATGTTTAGTTTTACCGGTTGGGGAAGTGGCTTAGTGTGGTGGGCCTGGATTCTGGTATGGATTCTGCCTCTGAGTGAACTTGGGAAAAGTCTGCCACTGAGTGAACCTGGGGAAAAGTCGTTTCCTCCTCTGTAAAATGAATCAGGCGGTGTTAGACATTTCCCGAAACCTTCCCTCGAAAGCTGTGTGATCAGGACATCCAGGAGGTGTAGGTTTAACTTCTGGACACTTTACCAGCCGACAGCTGCCCCTGAGCTGGGTGTGGATTCTTTCCTCTTCACTGGTGATTTGGCATGCAGAATATTTTTGGGTATCTCAGGGCGCTAGTGAAATCCTTAGGGGTTGTTTTTCCCTGTGGCGCTGACCTTGCTTTGATATGAGAGTACAGACGGAGCTCATTTTCTGCTTTGAGAAGGACCTGGGCCTTGATCTGACCTCCCGCCTGCCTGCCAGTACCACCCAGGTCTGAGTCTGGCAGTGATAGCCAGGTGAGGGAGGAGGCAGGGATTGGCTAATACCAAAGGGAGTGTCCCAGAACACGAGGCCATCATGATGATCCTTGGAAGAAGGGTTCCCGAGTCAAATACTAAATCTCCTCTTACAGAGATTTACAGTGAGAAGCCCTGAATTAAGAAACCGATTTAACTCAGTGCTTCTTCAATTTATCTGACTTCCAAAGCCCTTTTTTCTCCATAGTACGAAACGTCTCAATGTACTGGTATTCACAGAATACACTTTGAGGGACCCAAGTTCATATGGTAGCAAAAACTTAGGAAGAACTTGAAAAGGAGAAGTTCATTCTGTGAGAAATCAGGGAAGCAGGCTAAGAATGTGTTAGGGGCCTCACAAGAAATACACTGTGCTGAGCTGGATTGCCTGCGAGGCGGGCGGAAGGAGCCCCGGGCCCGATCCCGGAGATGTCCGTGGGGGTGGGGGTGAAGCGGGCCCTCTGCCCAGGGGCGGCTCAGGAATCCCATCTCTCCTGTGAGCACCAGGAACAGCGGTGCTGTACGTGCTGGTGGCTCACCCGGGGAATTGTGTTTCCAGCACCACGGTGTTGCAGAGCATGAAGCTGGGGGTGGATGTGAACCGCCACAAAGAGGTCATTGTTAAGGCCATCTCTGCTGTCCTGCTGTTGCTGCTCAAGCATTTTAAGTTGAACCACGTCTACCAGGTACCTGCAGGGCCTTCCTTCCCGTTCACTGGGCCAGGGCCTCAGACAGTGAAGAACCGAGGCCTTGACCTTCAAACCCCCTTGAGCTCTGCATGAATGTTTTAAGGCACAGTCCTCTGACCAAGCCCTTTTATCATTGGAGGAAAGAGGGTGAGGTCCTAAAGGGCATGCTTATTCTTTTCTGTTTGTTCCAGTTTGAATACATGGCCCAGCACCTGGTGTTTGCCAACTGCATCCCTTTGATCCTAAAGTTCTTCAATCAAAACATCATGTCTTACATCACCGCCAAGAACAGGTGATAAGGATGAGGGAGCAGGAAGGGGTGGGTATGGCCAGATGGCAGGGCTCCTGGCTGGCCTCTCCGCCTGAGCCCGTTCAGCCCCTACAAGCCAGCGCTCTGCCCGGCCTCAGGACACAGAGAGGAACGAGACACGGTCCCTGCTGTGGAGAATGCCAGTGTGTCGAGTCTGAGTGTAGCCACTCCAGTGACACAGGTGACTCTGTCTGTGCCTGCGTGGGAGGGTTCTCATCCAGGGCTCCAGTACTGGCCTCACCGTTTGGTGGTGTTCTGAGGAGACTGGCCAGGCCTCCTGCTCTCTGAGGGCCTCCGCCATGTGCACTGTAAGGCCCTATCTGCTCTTACCCCTGCCCCCCTCGCCTGGGCCCGCTGTGTTTGATGGTGCACCGCAGTGTGAGCTCTCGGCCAGACACTGTCCCCACTAGGGGCTTGGCGTACATCAATTGCCTTGAGAAATCTTCCCCCTGGCCCCAGGCTCGTTGCTGTGGGGAAGGCAGGGTCTCCGGACCTTACAAGATGGCGGGATGATCTCTGGCCATAGAGGGACCCTACAAGTTCTCTGGTAGCAGGGATTTCATCTCTTGTAGCTGGGGGGACGAGGGGGGTGCACACAAGGCAGAGTCCTGCTTCCACTCCCAAGTGAGGGAGGAAGGCCGGGAGCCAGCCCTGTCGCAGCTGCTTCACCAGCCCGCAGCCTTTGCTCAGGGTGGGCGCCCAGCTTCTTTTGCTCTCCGCAGCATTTCTGTCCTGGATTACCCCCACTGCGTGGTGCACGAGCTGCCGGAGCTGACCGCTGAGAGTCTGGTGAGTGGCTGTATGCTTCCCCGGCCGCTCCTTTGGCTGAGGGGTGGTGGTGGAGGGCCTGCCTCCCCTGACACAGGGATAGAGGTGTTCACATGGGAGGTCACTGTTGAGGACTGGCTTTTAAAGCACCGAAATGGCATAGAAGGGCCAGAGGAGGGAGCTTGCCGAGGGGAAAGATGTGGATATAGGGAGTGGTTCATCAGGAGCGTGGTCTTCAGGGGCTGGTGACCCAGGGCTCGCCTGGTCGGGTGGCTTTGCTCTCCCACACTGGATCTCCGTGGGGCACGGCTCTGAGGGAGCTGGGTGCAGATGCCCCAGCTGTGGGGGCTAAGGGCACAGTCCCCAAAATCATGCTCCACGTTTCCTGCAGAAAAATTCTAGGGAGCTCCCTTTCCCCTGCCAAGCTCTGGGATGGAAGTCCTCCTGGGCTGAGGAGCGGAGGGCCCGGCAGTTCCGAGAGAGGCGTGTTGGCTGTGGACACTGCTGAGCACGTGCAGCTGTGAGGGTTATAACTGTTCCCGGGTTCTCCCTGCAGGAGGCAGGTGACAATAACCAGTTTTGCTGGAGGAACCTCTTTTCCTGTATCAATCTGCTTCGGATCTTGAACAAGCTGACAAAATGGAAGCATTCGAGGACCATGGTGAGCTAGTGCAGTCAGCGGGCACACAACTTGGAAATCAAGACAGAGGGCCACACCCCGTGTCCCCTCCCAGGGTGTCCCCGGGGCAGGCTTGCTGCTGCCCCTACCCCCTTCTCACCCGACTCACTGTTGCCACGTCCTTGCATTTAACGGCTCATTCCTGGTTCCTCGCTGAGTTGAACTGGAAGCTAGAAGAGGCTCAGTCATGCCCTGAAGCCAGTGGACACTTAGAGAAGGGATTTTTCTATGTCCTCTTAATATCCAGTGGTAACACAGCCAGGATTCTGAGAGTCTCCCTTAACCCTGAGTCTGAGGATGCCTTTGGGGTGGGGAGGTCCGTGGATCCTCGGAAATTTTACATACATGCGCATAGGAACGTTCCCAGTGAGCGAGTTCACGGCTTCCCTCAGATTTCACGGCTTCCCTCAGATATCACAATGACCCACGATTTTAGTGGTGGGAGTCCACGTCCCGGGAAACCCCTCCGTCTGGGGCCACGGAGATGGTCGGTTCCCCTGCCTGTAACCCCAGAAGGGGTAAGCAGCAAGGTGGTCGTACAGGTGTTGATCTCTGCCCTCTATCCGGCCCTCTCGTGGCCCTTCCAGATGCTGGTGGTGTTCAAGTCGGCCCCCATCCTGAAGCGGGCCCTGAAGGTGAAGCAGGCCATGATGCAACTGTACGTGCTGAAGCTGCTCAAGGTGCAGACCAAGTACCTGGGACGGCAGTGGCGGAAGAGCAACATGAAGACCATGTCTGCCATCTACCAGAAGGTGCGGCATCGGCTGAACGACGACTGGGCATACGGCAATGGTAAGGCTCTGGCGCGAAGCTGAGGGGGGGCTCCTTTCCCTCCGAGGAACCCACGGAGTCCAGTTCCTGCTTCTCTAGCATCCGGATAGGAGCTCCAAGAACGACTTTGAGAAACTGCCTGGGATTGGCGCACGTGATCACACCCCATTCCTCTGTCCCCTGGAAGGTGTTCCTTTTCCAGAAACTGTCACAAGACAGTTGCCCATCTTTTCTCTCCCTACTGTCACTGCCTCGGTTCTGACCACTGAAATTCTCACAGACCCTGATGGCTTCCTTGGCCCCCTTTTCTTCCCCTCTGTCAGTGCCTCAAACTGAGCCCCAGTGATCTTTTTAAAAAATTTTTATTTATTTTTAAATTTTTTTTTTTTAAGATTTTATTTATTTGTCAGAGAGAGAGCACAAGCTGGGGGAGCGGCAGGCAGAGCAGGGGGAGAGGGAGAAGCAGGCTCCCTGCTGAGCAAGGAGCCTGACGTCAGACTCGATCCCAGGACCCTGGGATCATGACCCGGGCCGAAGACACTTAACCAACTGAGCCACCCAGGTGTCCCCCCAGTGATCTTTTTGAAAAGCAGATCCTGTGGTGCTAACTCCCTGAGGAAAATTCATTAGCTTCTGATTTCCCTTAGAATTTGAGCCAAACTCTTAAGCAAGGCATGTGAGGCTGGCCCAGTGTCCCTTCCCCTCCTGCGTAATCTGATCCAGCTTCTCTTCAGCTCAGCCTCCATCACACGCAGGGATCTTGGCCCATTAGCCGCGTTGTCCCCCATGTTTCTTGCTCCTGGCAGGGCGCCTCCCTCGTACCTGTAACTGTTCGGTATCCACATGTATTCTTCCCGTCTGGGCGGCTGCCCCGGCCTCCAGGCAGAGTGGGCTCTTCCTGGGCTTTCCCGAGCACGCTGCCACGCCGTTCTGGTTTCTTGCCTGCGGCCGCATGGCCAAATGACCACATCAGCACCCCAGTGCCCTGTGAATTTGTGTGGAGCCGGAGTGGCCCCCAGTCCCTGGTCAGGGCACTGAGAGAATGAGCAAATGAGGGGCTCTGCGGCTTCCTGCCATCCATCCCAGAGAGCCAGGGAGAATGTGACTTCAGAGAAGCGTGTCATTCCTGTGGCTCTCCCTGGCTGGGTCCCCCCCCCGCAAAACTGCAGTGTGGCCTCTTTCTCTGTAGATCTGGCCTCTCTCTTTTCACCTGATTTTCCTTTGTATCGAAGTAAAAAGTCCTGTCAGTCTTCCTGAGGATGGGGATTGGAGGTCTCCTGCTTGGGGCTGACAGCATTTCGAGCCAGGGTCAGCCTGGCCCCGAGCTTCAGTGAACCCAGAGGGGAGCTGCCATGAGGGCTCGGCTCCTAAACATGTCTTCCCGCTTTGTCCCAGATCTTGATGCCCGGCCTTGGGACTTCCAGGCAGAGGAATGTGCCCTCCGTGCCAATATCGAACGCTTCAACGCCCGGCGGTACGACCGGGCCCACAGCAACCCAGACTTCCTGCCTGTGGACAACTGCCTGCAAAGTGTCCTGGGCCAGCGGGTGGACCTCCCTGAGGACTTCCAGATGAACTATGACCTCTGGTTAGAAAGGGAGGTCTTCTCCAAGCCCATTTCTTGGGAGGAGCTGCTGCAGTGAGGCTTCTGGGCAGGGGACTGACAAGGAACGAAGAGCTGACCTGGAGGTGCCCCAGGGGCTGTCCTGGTCCGTGGCTGCAGTGCTCCCACCTCCCTCCAGGTGGCAGCACAGCCCCACCGTGCCCTCCCTAGGCCGAGCTGGGCTGCCGGAGGGGAGGCCAGATTTGGCCCCTCGTTGATTCCCAGCGTCCTGCTCCGAGTGCAGTCTGCTCTCTGCTTGGGGTCCTCTCTTCCTTCACTCCTCCCCACCCTCTTCTCTTGGACATGGTTGGTTGCAGCTCATTTCTCATTCAGGCCAAGGCTGGGAAAAGCTGGGGTGGGCTGGGAAGCTCTTGCATCTGAATTGCAGGGGTAGTGCTGACTCTTCCCGAGACACACAAATCCTTGGCATGTCAGCCTGCCAAGGAGGAGGGTCAGGGCCAGAAAGTCGGAATCTTTGGTTTTGCTTTGAAGGTTTCTGATGTCATTCCAGCCTCCTGCTAAGTTTCATCCAGAAGCAATTGCAGAGGCTCCTACAGCTGCCTCAGTGCTTTGATTTTGGGCAGGGTTAGGGGGTAGGAAGAGAAGCTTCCCTTAAGCAGAGGTGCCGTTTTTCCTCTTGGTTTGCGAGGGTCTGTAAATACCTATATATAAATCTCTGTGTATTCTCTTGTGTCATGTGGGGGTTTTTAACGTGTTTGTGTATTCTGTTTACATTAAAAGGAAGCAAAACCAATCCCCATTGCCGTGTCTGCAGGAAATACGGCCCCTGAATATCTCCTCAGGTCTAGAAAGTGGCTTTTCCTGCCAGCATTGATGGGTCACCCACTTGTTCCCTGCCAGGCTGCCTGCCTTTCCCACCTGAGGGGGAGAAATGGGGAGTTGGCACTTATCCAGAGGGTTTTCTCCCCACATCAGTCTGGAATCACTTCAGCCCAGCTCCAGGGTTCCGGGCTGCTGGGGTGACAAGTTGTCCTATACCCCTGGGTTTGATGTAATTGCAGTAGAAGCCCCAGGCATCTCTGGATCACACTCTGGAGTTGGCCCCCACCAAACCAATTTCAGTGCTAGCGAGGGAGGGGCTGGGTCAGAGAGGGGGGTTGGCTACTACAGGTCTAGCAAGGGTAGGTGGTTGGGACTAAGAGGAAACCTCTGTGCCCAGAGCCTGGGGCAGTGGTCAGCTTCACGGTGGGAAGGAGTGTGTTGGGGGAGCCCAGTTGCTGGGGAAGAGGCAAGGAAACTCTCTGTGGTAGGTGTCAGTTTGAGGTCTCGGGGATCCTGCACCTGGCCCTCAGATCCCTGGACACATCTGCTTTCACCTACTTCCATCTTGGAGGCGCTGTTTCTGATGCAGGTGATATGATAGGACTGTTCTCTTTTCAGAATCACTTGAAGGTCCCTTATCTTACCTGTAGGCCATGTGTATGAGGTCTTAAGGCTCTGAGGGGTCTTGGCTTACAAAGGAAGTGTACTCTGGGGAAAATGTCCCTTTTGTTGGTTCCGTGCCTGCCTGGCCTGGGTCTTGGCTGAGGCTCGGTGTAGGCCCCGAGCTGGGCTTCCAGGAGAAGTCTGTATGATTTGGAGCCGCAGGGACAAAGCCCGCACTGTCCTTTTTCTGTGAGTCACACAGCCTCTGAGGTGGGAAGTCCCTGTGACTGACTGACTTTTTGCCCCTCAGTAACTTGCACCAGACAAGGGAATCTGACACGATTTGTGTGTGCGTGTTGGGTTTTCTACTGTTCCTTGCCAGGACCGATAGGAAGTATGTATCATGAGATTTTAGTCGGGGTAAGATAGATTTTCACGTTCATACTCCACCAGGCAGCCTGGCTCATGGAACCAGCTTGTCTGAAGTTTTGCTTCCTTCCCCTTTTCTGAAGCTTCACTTAATCAGAGGTGCAATTTTTTCCTCTTGGCTTGCAACGGTCTGTAAATGCCTATATATCTAGTTTATATTTCAGTTTGTACAAAAAAGAACACAGATTATCAAAGCTGCAAGGGCCATGAAGCCTGAGTGGGCGGGTGAATCCCTGCATCTGTAGGCCCAGGACTGGCCCAGGAGAGGAAGCGCCTTTTCCCAACCACAGAGTGTGCTAAAGGTTTTCTTTCTCATCTGGGTCCCGAGATGGGCAGGGTGCATGAAGGCCCTTTGTAAATAGTTGAGTTACACAAAATGTTGGTTATTGCTAACCAGGCTCAAGGTCCAGGGCTCCTTCCATCCACTGAGGGATGGGTTACCTTGTGGCCGTATCATCTGAGGGAACTGGCAATCAAAAGCGTTACCACTTACTGGGTGTCACGTAGTTACCAGGCCCAGTACCGATGCTTCTTGAAAGTTCATTTTCCACACAGGAGCCAGCCACTGGTGCCAGCCAGTGCTCTAATGTTATTGTTTATAATAACCCTGAAAGGTACCAGCGTTGCAGGGCCTGTTTTGCGCATGAGAAGTGGGCACAGAAAGGGTAAAGAACTTGCCCAAGGTCACGAAATAATGAGAGCCAGAGCCTGGATACAACCAAGGTCTCTGCAAAGTGTATGTCCCATGGCCCCCCTGCCCCAACACACACACACCCTTTCTCTCATGAATCATTTTGATTCCCCGGCACTTACACCAGTGCATTCATTTGCTCTTTTATTCCCTTCAGTCAGTACTTAATATTTGCTCAAGCATGGTCCTTGGCAAGGAGATTGTTGGCAAATGTCCGCTAGGCCTTGCCCTGGCTTCTAATGTGCCCCAAATGTGCCCTCGTCCAGGTGGTTTGGGGGCTGTCGCTGCCACCTTCCCTTTCAGCCTGAGCCTGGGCGTTTTGCTCTTCTGGGTCCCAGAGGACTCGCGTGTGGCTGCCCCACCATTCCTGTTAGGCTTCTGTGCCGGGAGGCTGGCTTCCTGTCCTCTCATGAACCGAGGCGGGGAAGCAGTACTTGTACCATTCATTTGTCACTCAGCACGCTCAGCCTTGGGCTGCAGGCTCACATGTACTCACTGAAGGACCTTGAGCTCATCAAGCTCCACGCCTCAGTTGGCTTATCTGTAAAAACTGGTTTAATAACAGCAAGGTGGTCATGAGGGCTGAATAAGTGGATAATGGCTCTACGGACCTGGCTGAGGAGGGACAGCACGGCTTGTAAGTGACAGCTATTCGTAGTCCTGCTAAGGGCCCTTCCAACTCTAGCCCACTCTGGATTTGCTTCCACTTCCTGAATCCCCTGGAAAAGAGACCACCCCCGCCTTCAAGGGCCAGAACAATGTCTTAGGGCTCCTCTGGTGCCTCCTCCTGAGCCTACAGAAGGCTTTCAAAAGTCAGCCATTCACCCAGCCACCCTGCTGTCCTACCCTGAAGGCCTCTTCTCTGGGCCAGGCCTTGTTCCAGAAGCCCCGGGCGTCCAGATGAACAGAACACCACACTCTCACTTTCCTTGTCAGTCGATAGACAGGTGGCTACAAGAGCAAGCGAGAGCAGTAACGTGGTGGGCACCGAGACAGACAGCCGCGGGGCCACCTGGGCTCTACTGGCCCCAGCCAGTGCCCTGGAGAAGAGACTGGGCGGGGGAGGCTGCCGTGGGTGAGGGGCGAGCGCGGGGGCTCTGAGAGCATTGCCCCTGGGGAGAATGGTGAGGATGCGCCTGGGGCAGAGGCTGGGCCTGATATAGGGAATGCCCGGCTCCTGGCGAGGTGGGGCCAGCTCGGTTCCTGTCTGGGGCTGCAGAGGGTCTGCACTTCAGGGCTGTAATTCAGGTTGATGTGTAAATGCCTGGGGGGAGGTGGGGAAGGAAGATTGAATGCCTCTCATGAGAAGCATTTCCTCACACTGGACTGAGCTCAGAAGCCTGGACTGAAGGGCCTGTTAGCGAGGGCTCTCTGCTCTGGGCCTGGGGTCTGTGCCCCTGCCAGCACCGAGATTTAGAGCTTCTCTGGGTGGCCCTCACTGGGGCAGAGCGGGGCCTTAGCAAAAGGACATTGAGCCTAGCAACTCTCTTAAATTTGGGATTTCAGGTGGGGCCACTTCCCCTTTCCTTTTCCAGAAGGGGATGAGCATAGCTCCCAGCCTGGCCTGGGGCCTAGGTTGAGAGCTGAAGTTACCTCTGGAGTGAGGCTGGGGGCAGGGGCATCTGAAGACCTGGGGGCTGAGTCTTAGGGGTGAGATGTCTAGAGTGTGGAGGAGGAGGGGAGGATGGGAGGATGGGAGGATGGCTAATGGGAAGCAGGTGGAAGGGCTGCCTGTGTCCCAGCCGAGGGACAGGCCGGCTGGGATGGCGCAGTCAGTGGGAGAAGCCATCAGCTCACAGATAATCCCAGGGAACAGGCTCCGGGATGCCCATTCATATTCATTATGTGTGAAGTGGGCGGTTGTAAAGTTAGCTTTCTCTTCATTTAGCTGTCACTGGACAGAGAAATATGAGCTGTGGGCAGATGCCCCTGGATGGGAGCCAGTAGCTGGTCTCTGGCCTCCCCGTGCCCTCCTCCACCAGGGCCTCCCTCCCGCATGGTTCACTCCCAGCCTCCGCCTGCCTCCACTCCTGCTGCGTGGATCTCTCTCTCGGCTTTACTGCCTTCTCTCATCCCTCTCTTCCCCACTTCTGCTTCCTTTGCTTTCACAGATCCTTTCCTCCCCGTGCACCGCCCCCCACCCCCCACTGAGCTGTGTGAGAGAGGGAATTGTTTTTTTCTTGACCATTGTTCTATCTCTGGCAGCCAGCACAATGCTTGGCACAGAGTGGGCACTCAATAAATATTTGTAGAACAAACTAATCTTTCTGCATCTCTCTGACTTTGTGACACAGAACTCCAAAATCTTGCTGACCACTCCTTGGGTGAAGAACCTTCTAGTGCACTGGTCTTAGCCCTGAGTTAGAAGTGTGGGTTTGAGGCCCAGTCATTATTGACCAGCTGTGTGAAGGGTGTTGTGCTCCTCGGAGGTGCTGGGGCTGCTTCTCCCTATTGCTCCCACTCTTCCCTTCCTGATGCACACAGGGCTCTCGCGTGGACCTCAGAGCCACCAGCATCAGTACCGAGAGGAGAGAAATCGCCAGCAGCCAGGCCCTCAAATGAAGGGAAGGGAAGGAAGACACTGGTTTCTTCTGAGGGGAGCTTGAGCCTGGTCGCACTGTCTTAGAGGAAAATCTGATCTGATGGGGCACTTGCTCCCTCTGGGAACGAGCGCAGCACTGGTGTCTTTGTGTGCTCGGGTTTCTCTGTGCCTGGAAGAGGCTCCTAGCTGAGGCTGAGCTCTGAGCAATGTGGTTGTGTTTACTGGGAGGGTGGGAGGGCCAGGCCTGCTTTCTTCCTGCCTTCTAGGCTGCGGAGATAAGGCAGAAAGTGGGGATGAAGGGTAGAATGGCTAATACTCTGAAACCACAAGAAAGAGTCCTGGCTTTCGTCTCTGCCCCACAGCTCAGACATGCCCCTGGGGCATCTGGGAGAAGGGGGTTGCCCCACCCCCACGGTTCTGGCCCAGGGGAGCTCAGAGCCCTCAGTGGACTCCCCCATCTTTCATTCCAGCCCCCCTTCCACTGCCAGTTCAGCCACAAGTTTATCTCCGCCTTCCCACCCCAGCTCCCCATTTTCCCTTCCACATGGGCCCAGCAGCCCTCGACCCGATCCTAGGCAGGTGAAAGGGCCAGGCATGGCGTCTATTGGCCTTGGGGGCCCTGCTGCAGGCCCACCTTCCCCTAGCCCCCAGGATCCCCGCTGGCCCCTTAGGAGGGCCTGCCCAGCCTGAACCCTGGGCACGGACCAGCTAACCCATTGTCAAACCCTGAGGATACACAATTACCTGGTCTAAAAAATACTGCCATCTTTATTATTATGCTGGGCAGCACACCTTTTTTTTTTTTTACAAAAGTGGGGTTTGAGATCTCAGGGGCTTAGAATCCGTGGAAGTCTGTTTTATTCTTACCAACATCTAATGAGTAAACCAGGGGAGCTTACAGTTTCTATGGCATAGCTCTGGCCTGAGCCCACAGAAGAGAATCCAAATATTTGGTGGTTTCTGGTGGCCTTTCTGCCCCCTTGGAGGGGGTGAGGACTTCATGGCATGTTGGGGGCGGGGGCACAGGGCAGGAGTAAGGGGTGGCTGGAGCTGGGCCTCCCGGCACCTTTTCTGGCACCTTTTCCCCAGTGGCCTTCAGGCCCTTGTGAACTCCGGACGCCGAGTGCTCGCCCCCTGGTGGTGCGAGGAGGGAGTCAGGCTGGCCCTAGATGCTCATGCTGCAACACTAGTTTCCCCTTAGTCACAAAGAGCTGCTCCTGGTTCAACCTGTGTCATCCTCTTGTTTTCCTGGGTTCCCTGAATGAGGAACCAGTTCAGCCATTTCAGCTGGAGGGATGACACTTAAACTTGGACAAAGTCTGCAGAAGCAGGGCAGTGTCTTCCTCCCTCCAGCCCAGAGTTGGATGAAGGGACCCAGTGTGTGGTAGGAAGAGTCCTACCTGCTTTGCAGCCCCCTTTGTCCTGGGCAGCCCCACCTTATTTTAAGAGAAAAAAAAAAAACTCTAGCTTGTTCCCTGCAGGAGGCTGAGGATCCCAGCTGCTCTGCCTGGGCCTCCGGGAACCGACTGGGGCTTGGAGGCAGAGGTGTGCCCTCTCTGGCATCCAGGCTGGGATGGGGTGGGAGCAGCTGGGAACAGAAAAGGGGGGTGGGCAGCTTAGTCTGCATGTCCACGCAACCGATCACGTGGTCCAGTTCAGTAGGCTGGGTGGCTCCTTGGACTTCACCCTGAGCGAGATGAGGCTTGGAGACCTATAGTCGCCATCTGGGGTAGGCTCAAAGCTGTGGCCCCCCAGGGCAGGGGAGAAGCCATGGATGGAGTAGATGCCAGGGTGGGCTCCAGGGGAGGCTGGCACCCCCATGAAGCCAGCCACATTCCCATGAGAGTGGGAGTATGGAGACATGCATGGGGAGGGCATGCCCTCTGGAGACACGAGGCAGGGGCCGGGGGGGCTCCCGGACCCTGGACTGGGCCACAGGGAGTTCTGCAGCTGAAAAGAGAGACAGAAAAGAAGGCCCATGAATCAACAGCCCAGGGGCTGCCTCCCTTACCTGGGGGTTCTGTCTTTGCCCTCAGGGCTCTGGAAACTTAGCAGGAAACCTCCACTTGGCCCAGGTCTAGAATCTGCTCCCGCCTACCCCCGACACTTGAAATGGCATCTCCGGAGCCCCCTGCCACTGCACCTCCAAATGAGATTTGCTTCAGTACCAGCTGTTCGGCATGCCTCATTCACGAGACAGGGAGGAGCCTCACTTTGCAGAGGAGAAGTGATTTACCCATGGTCCCGCAGAGTCCTAATGCTGCTTCAGGTCTCCCTGGGGCCCACGCTACCCTGGGGGATGTGGCCAGGCCCTGACGCAGGGCCAGCTGGGGTCTCACCTGCAGGTGGCTGTCTGTTCGGGGCAGCACAGAGATGTCGTAGGCAGATGTGAAGGGGTTCCGCCCCTCCTGGATCTTCCCATAGCGCTCGCGCTTCCGCCACTTCGCTCTGCGGTTCTGGAACCAGACCTGGGGAACGAGGGGAGAGGCTGAGGGAGTGACAAAGCGGCCCTGAGGAATAGAGCCCCCTGGGGAGAGAGTGGGTGGGGGTGTCCTGCAGGATGGGGAGCTGGCTCTGGCTGGAGGAGCTTGAGCTGCAGCAGCCTGTAAATCCCTATTCTCCGGGCCAGGGGAACCGGGGGGCGGGGGGGGGGGCTTCTTGGTCCCTTGGGCCACCCATCACCCCCCAGTCACCAGGCTGAGTCACTCTCTTGGTTCTCCAGCCCGCCTGTGCCACTAAGGGTGTCGTGGAATCTGTGGCCGCAGAGGCTCTGGGCACTGGCTAGGCGTACCAGGGCACAGACCTCTAGCCCCCCTGCCTCATCTCCGCTCCCGGGCTCCCTGCCTCCCAGCCTCAGGTCAGAGCCCAGCTCCTTAAGAAGGCCCCTGGGCACTGAGCCCTGCCCTTCTCCGCAGCCTCACCCCCAGCCAGGCAGTATGGCTTGATTCTTCCTACTTGCCTCTCAAGCCAACTTGCCTCTGAATGCATCTGCTACCTTGTGACTCCCTGCCTCGCCTCAGCCTTCCCCTGCCTCGACTTACCGCCTCACCCTGACACACACGCATATGTTGCCGCTGGCCTGGGTGATGCGCTGGCATCTCTCTCGTACTCACCACACCCTATTACCATTGTCCCTTTTGTAATCTGTGTCTCCCACTCACTTGGGAGCTCCCGGCAGGTGAGGGTGGCCTCCCTGTGTCACGCGCATCTGTGTACCTATCTGTGCCGAATCTGTCACTTGGCGGAGGCCCTGTGGCTGTTACATTTATGGTACCAGTGCCCACGTTTTGTATTTCTGTCATTTAATAAACATTTCTGTGTCAGGCTCTGGGCTAGATGTTGGCAATATCAAAACCAAACCAAACCAAACCATCCCCTTGCTTTCCAGGGATCTAGCTGGGAGCCATGACAAAAGAAGTTGTGTGTGTGTGTGAGAGTGTGTGTGTGTGAAAGGAACCCCACCTCGGCCCCTCACACACGCCCCCATGGTGGCCGTTCCTACCGCTCAGACAGGTGAAGCCACGACAGTTAAGGAGCTTGGCAGACCCCGAACCCCCTAAGCCCCAGATGCAGAGATCCCAGAGCAGGCCTGGGGCAAGGTCAGGGACGGACCATCCCACCTGCCCAGCTGCTGGGCCTTTCCTTCTCTATCCTCCCTCCCCCTCGGGTAGATGAAGGAGTCTGGACTGCTTCACCGGGCATTCCTCCCCGTCATCCCTGGTTGTCTCTGCAGCGCCCACTGTAGACTTCCGCCTGCACTTGGGCCTTGCCCTCTGCACTGTTCTGTGTGGTGGCTTACTGCTCTCCATGGGGTAGGGCCTGCGGGTGGCTGTCACATCCCTGTCAGAGAAAAGAGCCTTGTGGCCGCCCCTGCACCCCTTCGGCGTTGAAAAGGCCTGGGAGAGGAGTGGGGGGCTGTGCTCCGCCTCTCCAAGGCAGTTCCATGGCCACGGCTATCCAGAGGCTCGCAGAGGGTCCGGAGACTTGATGTTCCGGACTTCCGTGGCTCATGGACTCTGGGACTGTTGTGAATGCTCGGTCTCTTACCCTGCTGGCCCAGGTCCTGGGGCGCCCTGGGAGGACAGTCCTAGAAGTGTGTTTTGGGTGCTGCCTGGGAGGAAAATGAAAGCAGGAGGACCCAGAAGAGAAGGGGAAACAGCCTAAGCCCCTCTGGTCCTACGCTGAATCCAGCTGTAGGGCCTTCTCTGCTAGAAGGCAGCCGGCCTCTTCGTGGACTGGCCTGCCAGGCCCCATATTCAGCCAGAGGGAGGCCCCATACAGGGTGTGCTGTGTATGAGCTCTGTCCCTATTAGGTCTCCTCTGTGGTGGGAAAGAGAATCTCCTCTGTCTAGAAGTCACCTCCTCACCTCTCCTGAGAAGCCCAAATCCCACCCCTCTCCCAGTGCCTCCTACTTGGCCTCAGGGAGCCTGTTGTGCCTCATGCCAGTTCAAAGTCAAAGCAAGGCAAACAACCACCATCTTCCTCTTGGGCCAGGCTTTTACTGAAGCCTCCTTCCCCATCCCCACCCTCCGCCTGCCACCTTCATGTTCTTTCTCACTTCCGACATGTCTTGGACGTGGACTTCCCTTCTCCCTTTCCCCTGTTCTCAGCATCCCTCCGTCCCTTCACCCCCAACCCCTACCTGAAGCTGGCCACAGCCTACCCAGGAAGCCCTGCGGCCTGATCTCTGCTGGGGAGAGTTGGTTGGGTGGGGAAGGGCCCCTGGCCAAGCTCTCCCGGCTGGGGTCTGGGAGATGGCGGGCTTGACAGTCGCTGGCTCGGGATGGCTTTGAGCATCACTGGGTCTCAGACCCCCCCCCCCCCCGCAGTGGGGACCCTCCTGTTCTGGGCAGCTACCTCGGGAGTAGCCCGATGTGTTCAGCATTTCACTGCTTCCGAAAGGCTGTCACATCTGTGATCCTCAAAGACCATCCTAGGTAGGAAAAGCGAGACTGAGAGATCCAAGGACATGCCCCAAGTCACCTGGTCAGCTAGAAGTGGCAGAGCAAGGACTCCCAGACAGGTAGGTCTTTGGACTCCCAGAGGCCACCACCCCCATGAGGCACTTGGGCTGCAGGCCCGTGGTGGCAGCGGAGCTGGGCATGGAGGGGTGCTGAGAGCAGGCATCTGGGAAAGGCGGGTCTCCGTGGCACCAGCACCCACCTCTCCCGGCCCTTCCATGGCCTGGCCCGTGGTCAGGGTGGGAGAGGCAGCCAGAGAGGCCCATGCCCGGGGTGCCCTCACCTGTACCCGGGCCTCGGTGAGGTCCGTTCGCAGAGCCAGCTGCTCCCGGGCATACACATCAGGGTAGTGGGTTTTCTGGAAGACTCTCTCCAGCTCTTCCAGCTGGAACGTGCTGAAGGTCGTGCGGTTACGGCGCTTCTTGCTCTTGTTCTTGGCCAACTCCATGGAATCAGGCAGTCCCGGGGACAGAGGGACACGCAGGCTGGCCAGACAAGGGCCTGGGGAGTCTTGCAAGTTAGAGGGCCCGTCTCTGGGCCCCCCTCGGCAGTCCAAGGGCAGCTGGGGGAAGCTGGCAGCTTTGGAGGCCTTCTCCTCGGCTGCAATGGAAAACACAAAAAGGAGGATGGAAACCGAACCAGGGGGTTTTGTGGGTGGACTGGGGGAGGGGGCAGGACGTTTGACGCTTCAGTCCCCGCCTCCCCCTTCCTTTCTCTTCCCTCGTCCCAGCAGCCACCCTCCATGGGAGCCTGGCATTCGGAGGCCTGCTTGCTGAGCCTCCAGCTGGGGAGGGGGCCCTGGGGAACCATGTGCTCTGTGGTCTGGGCGGATCTGCTGGGGCCAGACGAGGGTTCATTTCGGGGAAGCGCTTTGTGGTGGTGCGTCCCACAGGGTGTGGGGGTGCCAGGGTTGGCGCCATGGCAGGGCCTGGCGCAGAGGCGGGAGGAGGGGGTGAGCAGGGGGTGGTGGACGTCTCCTGCCCCTGCCAGGAAGTGCCTCCTTGGCCCTGGCTGTTGGGGGTGGGGGGAGGGAACGTGGTTCCCAGGTCCTCATGCCCCTGCCTCTGGTCCCAGGTCCAGGCAGGGGACAGACAGGGACACTCAGATCCCCTTTGGCTTGTCTGGCTGTGCCTCATTCTTTGGACCCCAAATCTCAGGGCAATGTCAAATCCCCCAGCCCTGGGGCGTGAAGGGCAAGATGGGGCAAAGAAGCGTCCAAAAAAAGATTATCTCATTCCTCCGAAAATTGTGATGTTTGGGCCCAAGACTTGAGCTCCAGCATTAGAGAGCAGAAGGTCGGCTATCTGCAGAGGAGAGTCAGGGCTTGGGGGACCAGTGTCGAAAGAGGACCCAGCTCCCAACCCCATCACTCTGGCCATGGACTGCCCCCTCCCTCCTCGGCAGTTTCCAATGGCCCCCCCACTGCCCATGATGAGCAAGCAGGGAGGGAGGACCTGACTGCAGCTGGGCACAGTTCCCAGCAGCCCCACTCTGACACGCTAACCCTCACTCGGTAGGCTTGGTGGAGCCCTGCCACAACCCGGTCATGGTGAAAAATAGGTCACCCCGATTGCTCCGCCCTCTCCTCTGGCGAGGCCCCCAGCGGCACTGCCATGAAATCTCCAAGAGTCCACTGGGACAGCAGGAGCCCTGCCACAAAGATGCCCCACTGACTCATGCAGCCTGGCCCTTGCCCTGGCCCATCCCCAGCAGGGGCCTGGGCCCCCGGAGGCCCAGCAGGCTGGCACCAGGAGGCTGTTTCCTCCTTGGGACTCGGTGTCAGGATCACAGCTACCATCAGGGAAGCATGGGACCAGGGAGATGGGATTCTCGGGCTCTGGCTCTGAAGAGTCCCTGTCTGCATTATGGAGGACAAGTCAGGCAAGGTCTCCCCCAGCTGGAAGGTGGTCAGGGACCTCCCAGGACCACCCAGGCTGTGCAGGAAGCTCCACGGCCTGGCAGAGTCAGGGGACCTGCCCTCGGGCACCAAGCTCACAGCTCAGGCGGAGCATCGAGGAGAAAGTGTGCCAGCCACTGACTTCCATTCTTGGCCCACATGTTTTGGTTCTAGAGGTAGTTCCATGGGCAGCAGCTTAGGGAGAAGGACTCATGGAAGCTGAGCCAAATAATTGAAAATGGTCAGGGGGAGTGGGAGACTGGAAGGGGACACCCCACATCTAGCAGGTTTGAGGGGGTGGTCTTGGAGTTCTGGGTTCAAAGGGAGGTCCTGCTGGACTCGAGGCAAAAAAGGGTGAGGGTGGCTCAGGGATGGGGATAAGGGGAGCATTGACATCACTACAGAGGGCCCTCCAAACTTCTGAGGCTTTGCTCATCTGGCTCTTGGGCCCTCAGTGTCTGTCCAAACAGGATCTGCCCAGAGGAAGTGACTAGCTCTGGGCTCTGAGCGACCAGAGTAAGAGATAAAAGCACAGCAGGACTTTTCGGAATAGCCACCCAGAAAAGGCTGCTGGCCTCCGCTGGCCTCCCTCGCCTGCCCAGTCTACAGCCCTGCCAGGGGACCGGGGTACTTGTCCCCTCCTCATCGCCATGGCCCTGAAACCTCCATCTACCTGAAGGACTCTGGGGAGAAGCCAGCATCCCCCTCTTTGGGGGGACAGGGGCACACCTCCTAGAATGTCTCCGGAAGAGCAAGGCGCAGTGGCGAAAAGAGGGGAGGTGGGGTCAGCGAAGGGCAGCAGTCAAGGAAAGGAAGGAAAGGCAGCCCCAAGTTTGAGTCTGAGCTTGTAAACAGCAGGGTGCACCCGGAGGCCCCGAGCACTTTCCAGGTGTATGCAGGCTGTGTTTGGGGGTCACCTGCACCCGGTGGGGACACTGGGTGGTTAAGGGGGAGTGTTCATGGTAGAGATTGGAATCCTGGGGCTCAGCACCAGGGGGTCCACAGCCCCCACACCTGCAGCACCACAGCCGAGGTCCGGCGGGCCAGAAAGACAGGAGCCAGGACAAAAACCTCTGAGGCGGCCACGGTGCTCGGTCCCTGACCGGCTCCCACGCCCCGCTGCTCGCCCGCACCCTGGGGCCGCCAGAGCCCCCCCCCTCCCCCGCTAGCGGCTCGGGAGCCCTACTGCTCGCTCCGGACGCCAACCGGGAGCCCCACTGCCCTCTCAGCTAGCGTCCACTGAGGCCGCCGGGCCCACCCCCCGGTTTTCGGCCTGCGCGCGGTTTCCCACGCGATGCGCAGAGCTCGCAGAGGCCTGGGCTCTCGCAGCTCCGCAGCTCCGGCTGAAGCCGTCGTGTGCATAAACGCCGTGCGCGGGACCCCAGCGGGGCTTGGTGCTCTCCCTAGAGTTTCCGGCTTTGGCCTAGACGCCTCAGCCGGCGGGGGGCCTCTGACTTGGAATCCTTCACGAGGTCTGCGGCCGGTCCGGTGAGCGCGGCCTTCGGTGCTCCGTTCTGGGCCTCCGAGGCGGCGGGCGCGTTCCCAGGTCAGAGAGCCAAGCCGGGGAGCGGACCGGGAAGGACCGGCCCGGCACTTCTCCGGCCCTCTGAGCAGCCGCGCTGCACCGCCAGGACGCGGCCGGGGTCCAGGGCAGGGCTGGGCGCTCTCGGCCAAGGGCGCCGCAAAGAGCGGGAGAAGCGCGCCAGGCTCTCCAGCGCCGGACTGCCCGGCCTCGGCGAGATCGCGCCGCAGATGGGGCGCAGCTGCACGCTCACTGGTTTGAACTGGAAACGCTCGGAGCCCGTCAAGTTAGAAGCAGGGAAATTTTGCCGCCACTTCCCACCTCGTAGACTGCGTGGCCCGAGTCCCCCGGGGCCGTTCCTCCCCCGCAGCCCCGCTCCGCCGCAGGGACGCAAGCGGCCTGCGCTCGCCGAGTTGCGGCCCTGGGCACCCGCAAGGCGAGAGGCGGCCGGGGTCCCAGGCTCCGCTGGCACCCGCTGCTCCTGTTTTTCGTTTGGTCGGTCCTCCGCTCAACTTGAATCGTTAATTTTCCTCTCCCACTTGATTTTGCTGCTTTCTGCTCTGTTATGATGTCCCTTTTTTCCTTTCATTTTTTTCCCTGCTTCTACTCTTCTTCGTCCTTTCTCTCCTTCTCCATTTACCCGCTTCGTTCGATCGTTTGATCCTGCGCTTGCTTTTTTCCTGGTTCTTCTGTTCGTTCTCCGTTTGTTTATTGACGTTCTGCCCTGCTTGCCGACTTTCGTCTACCTCTCCTCGTCTCTCTCCTCCGTTGTTTTGTTCATTTTCCTTTTCCTTCTTTTTGGTGGTTAACACTCCTTGGTTTTACTTTTACGCATTTCGTTGCTGACACCCTCGCCGTCGCCGGGTCCCTCCACGCCCCGCCGCTCGTTCTGCCCCAGCGCTCTCCGCAGTGGGCCCCTCCTGGCGGCCTCGCGGTGCGTGCGGATCCCGCGCGCCCAGCAGGACGCGGGCCCGAGGGGTGGGTCCCTCCCGTCGCGGCGCGCCCAGCCAGCGCGGGTACCTGTCCCCGGCGGTGCTCATGTGGCTGCGCGGCCGCCGCCGTCTGGCGGGGATCAGAGGAGCCAGGCCAACTGCTTTTCATTAAGTCCCAACTGTGGTTTTTATCAGGAGAGCCTCTTTCAAAGGGCACAGACACGAAGCTCCGCGGACTCGCTCATTTCCTCCGCTGACCCCCACACACCTCCCCGCCCTCCCCGACACATTCCCACCGCCCTGGGCGAAGGCCCGAGCTGCCTGGCCGCTCGGTGGAGGCCGGCGAGGCGCCAGTGGGTGGAGGCGGGATGGGGCCGATCTCAGAGGATCCAGTCCTGGGCCTAAGGTGCGGGATGTGGCAGCGCAGATGGGGCGGGCGCCCAGACTCCTGCAGGTCAGCGGGTGCAGTGGACGGCGGCAGGGCTGCGGGCCCGTGTGGCAGGCCCCGGCGTTCAGGCGCGTTCTCCGGAGATGGCGCGGTCCAACTGGCCTTGGCGCATGGGGCACCGGCCCAGGAGCCCGAGGCGCCTAGGGGATAGGCCCGCCCGGGGTGCTCTCGACGGCCCCAGCCGAGACGATCCAGTGCGAGGAAGCCAAGACTGCGAGAAGGGCGGCCATCACCGTGCATAACGACGGGGAGGCCAGGTTAGTCTGAGAAATAAGAACACAGTTATTCCGCATTGAGAACGGCCCCGGTACTGCGGGACCGGCCGCGGCCGCGCCGCCGAATGCCTAACGCGCCGGCAGCGCCTTCCCCACGGAGGCTGGGCCTGGGGGGTGGGGGCGGAGAAGCCGGCGGAGGCCAGGCCGCAGCCCTCGGCTGAGTCCTGCTGGGCCACTCGAGGTCGGGGCCCAAGCTCAGGGCCCCGAACGGGCGCCACACACAAAAGCCGCGCTTCTCTCCCCGCATCGGGACCGAGGGCTCCGCGTGGCGCCCGGGGCCCTGGGCCCGGTCCGGGCTTCTGGGTCAGTGGCAGCTCCAGGCCAGCTCGGGCCAAGCATGATTTCTCCTTCCCGCCTCCGGTCGCCTTCGGGCTTCACTGGGCCCGGGGCCGTCGCCGTCGCCGCTCCACCCTCGCGCGACCTCCCGCCTCCCGTTCCCGTCCCGGGAGGCACGGAGGGCTCTGCCTCCCGCGGGGCGAGGGCTTCGCCGGCCTGGGCCAGCGCCGGTGGGGCTTCTGAGGGAGCCGTGGCGAAGGGCTAGAGGGTCTAAAAGTGGAGAGCTGGGCGAGCGGGCGAGGGAAGCAGGGAGGCCCGGGCGGGCCGGGGAAGGGAAGGAGAGCGGGTCGGGGCTGCGCGCTACGCCCGCGCCGCGCGTTACCTTCCGCGGGGCCCTCGTAGAAGTGGCTGCCGTTGCGCGCCGGGCCGGGCCCGAGGTCCTGCAGGTACTTGGCGGGCGGCTTGGCCGGCTCTGGGAGGTAGGGCTCCGAGGGCCCGCAGGCCGGAAAACGGGTCAGGCGGGGGCCGCGGGGCGGCGCGGGGTGCAGGTGAGGCGCGCCGGCGGGGGTCCCCTGGGGGCCGGGTGGCTCGTCCCCCGCGGCCGCGTAGGGACCGGGCTCGGGCCCCACGCCGAAAAGCGCGCAGCGCTCGGGGTCCATGCCGGCTCCCGGCGCACAGGCCGCCGGGGCTCCGGGGCTCGCGCTGCCCGTGCGGCCTGTGAGCGCCCGCCAAGGGGGAGGGACCTGGGCGCGGGGGCGCGGAGCCCCCGGGAGCGGCGCGCGCCGCGGGGGGCGGGGGGCGGGGGGCAGGGGAGGGGGCCGCGCCTCTGACTTAATGCTGGAACCATCCACGTCACGTGCGGCCCCGCGCGGGTTAACCCCTCGGAGCCCGGGAGCCCCCTGATTCACCCCAGGCCGCGTATCAGAGGCAGTTCGAGCAGAGGGAGGAAACCACCTTCTCTCGACGGCAGGGTCCCTTTTGTCTGCCCATCTTGGTGAGTCCCTTGCTCAGAGCAGCACCCTTGGGCCTGACATCCAGCCTGGAGGTTCTCGCCCCCAGAGGCGTGAGGCACGCCCAACAAACACTCTTAGGCCTGGTCTCCCGACATAAGCCTGGGCTAAGGGCGGGGTGGGGGAGGGGCTGGGCTGGGCCTTTACCTAACTCTTGGCTGGGAGCTGGAAAAACGTTGCCTCTGCAAAAACACCTCCCTTGCAGATCCCTTGTTCCTCACGGACAGGAGTCCTTGGGAGGAGGTGTGTGGGAAGAGGTGTGTGGAAACAGCTCTAATCCGGGAATGGGGGCTGGGAAGTTTGGGCCTGGGCACTATCATTAATTAGCTGTGGGACCTTGAACTGTCACTGGTGTCTTCATCTGACTCTGGAGTCTGGACCAAGGCAATCCTTGGAGCCTTTCTGTGTATTCCTGGTGGGTTTGAGAAGCAGAGGCAGAACCAGAAGGTTCAGGGAGACTTGCAGGGACAGCTCAGGACTGAACAGGGTTCGGCAGAGGCTGTCTTTGAAGCAGGTGGAGGGATACCTAGAGGGTTTGAGGTTTGAACAGCAGATGTGGAGTGAATACCTTTCAAATGACTTGGGAATGCATGGGGATCCACTGGAGAGAGGCTGGCTGCAGCCCAGACCTCAGGGCTCTGCTGCCCCAGGCCTGCTATTTTGCAGGGAGATGAGGGTAGGGTGGCATCTCCTAGGTGTTGACTCTCCCCAGCCAAAAGGAAGCATAGGACTAGGGAGGTGGCTTGGAATTTCTGAGAAGAGAAACAGCCCCCACCCTAAGATCCGGGAAGAAATACCTGAGTGCCCTGGGACCCTGCTCCCTTCTGTGGATTGAGGAGTCCCCAAGTCTGGGTTACACTGTTTTTTATTTTCAGTGCCTCCAGAGACTAGTGAGAGGGATGGGGAGTCAAACATCATTTGTATTTCATTTGAATTCTCAATTTTTAAAGGAATCCAAGAGGCCTGGTGTGAACACCTCCCTCTTCCGCTGGGGGCTTAGAGGGGGTTTCTTGGCTGTCCTCAGCCAGAGTTGGGCTGTAAATCAAGGCCAAACAGGAACCAGAAGCCTTGCATCTCACAAGTAGTCATTAAGCCATTATTAAACATACCGTAATTTCTCTGAAGCCTTATTGGTTTAAACACCACATTGGAGGTATTATGGCCATTAGGGCCCCTAATCACAGACTGCAGACTGGGCTAGTGAGGTGGGAGCACCTGGGGCTGGGATTTCCAGCCAAGAGGGAGGTTCAGCTCAGAATTAAGCTTTCCTCTCTGGCCTCATGGTGGGGAGGGGGGGATCCATTCTCTAGGATCCAGTGGATCGCAGCTCTGGGCAATCAGTTTGCAGTGATCCCTTTTGCTCATTAGTAAGGTTTTTTTTATAGTTATTGGGCTAAGGCTGTGGGTATTGTTGACTCTTCAGGAGGATGTCAATGTCAACTCAGGACGCCGCTTCTGTTCCACAAAGGAATCGGGCAGCTTACTGTGAGAGATGCACGGAGGATGCAGGAAAAACATCACCAACAGTTTAAACAAGGCAGCCGGGCTTAAATGCCAAGTGTTTTGCCTCAGGTGATAAGTCTTTCTCAGCCTCAGTGTCCTCATCGTAAAAATGGGCTGTGCACGCGGACAAAGGATGTTGGAGAAGCACTTATGTTTTGATGGATGTGATGTACTGTGTTAGTTCATGAGATTATTATTACTATTATGGTATCCAGAGATGGCAATTGGCAGAAAGTTCCTGACTCCGGGGACTGAATGGGCTAGAGGCTGGGGCTGATCAGAGAGACCTAGGGACCAACCCATAGCCCTGCCCAAGCTCAGAAGCTCCTCCTGCCATTCCTCACTCTCTGACCAGAACCAGTTTCCATGCTGTCAGTTGAACTGAGGCTGGAGAAAACCCCAGCTTACATTCACATCGGATGGATAGATAGAGTTGCCCTCTGGGTGGCTTTTTTCCCAGGATAATGCGACACAGGGTACGCTTTCCTTGTTTCCCTTTTAAACCACTAGTGTAAACTCTTTATCTGTATGGGATATGGGGAGAGTTTGATGGGGCAGAGGTGCGTAGGAAACACACAAATTGGCACTCTTAGGTTGTCCAGGTTTTCCCTTAGGAGAGCTGAGAGATCCCGGAGTACCACAGGGGCCCTCATTTTACAGATAAAAACAATAGCTAATACTTCTTATAGTGTACCAGCCACTATCCAACGTATCCTATAGACAAGAGTTTATTTAATCCTCCCAACTCCACGAAGTAGGCACAACTATTATCCCCACTTTATAGAGAAGAGAGTGAGGCCACAGAAGGGAGCCATTCGTCCACGGTGGACACGGCCACGTCGTGGCAGAACCAGAATTTATGCCCAGCTCCGTGGTTCCCCGCCTGACACTGAGCGTCCCTCAGTCCTTCTTCTTCAGCTAACTTGACAAAGCTGAAATCATCCAACGCACGCCCTCGTGTTCCCAGAGGAAGGTTGGGACTTCTCCCTGAAAAGGAAGTTGAGGCCAAAGTGGACTAGGGCCAGAGGTGGTCCAGGGTGGAGCCACACTGCTGCACTCCTGATGGCGGAGAGGCAGTTTATTTATTTTATTTTTATTTTTTAAAAAGATTTTATTTATTTATTTGACAGAGAGAGACACAGCGAGAGAGGGAACCCAAGCAGGGGGAGGGGAGAGGGAGAAGCAGGCTTCCCGCGGAGCAAGGAGCCTGATGTGGGGCTCGATCCCAGGGCCCTGGGATCATGACCTGAGCTGAAGGCAGACGCTTAACGACTGAGCCACCCAGGCGCCCCAAGGAGTGGCAGTTTATTGAGACACGCTGTACCTCATGCTGGGGTGGCTGGGACAGTAGGCGGAGGGTGGTTTCTGCTAAGCTGCGACCAAATGAAACAGAGCGGCGAACACCTGAGAGGTTTCACGACCCACTGACGCAGCCAGATATGGGGCAGAGTCCTAAGAGAATTTACGAATTCACCGTGTGTGCTGTTTGATAATCACTTGCATCGCAATAGTGTTTGTCACTGCTGTATTATCCATGGAGTAAGTGAGATGAACTGATGCGATGATCCAGATCATTCTAGGTCCTATCATGAAAAGCCTTAAACAACAACAACAACTAACTTCCCACCTGCTGAGAAAAACTTTTAAAATAAAAATGGTACTAACTGGCTGTGTCTAGGCAACTGTTTTGCACCAGCCAGTTGCTTCATTCATTCATTCATTCATTCATTCATTCATTCATTCATTCATCCACTAGGAGGACCTACTACGTGACAGGCACAGTGTACCAGCACTGAGGTACTAAGCGTGCCTCCTGCCTTGGGGGAGCAGACGCTTTGCTGGAGTGGAAATGTCTCCTCCACCACGACAAAATCAGCACTGGGATGTGAATTAGGGTGGACTCTGGTCTCGAGAGCAGAGTTCCTGGCATCTCAGCCTCACCTGTGAGGTTGGTTCTAGAATCAGGGAAGCAGCCCCAACTCCTACTTTCTTTCATTTTTGACTTCCCTCAGCCTACACCACAGGACGGCGAAGGCCCCTCCCTTTTGCCGCAAGGGGTCGGAACAACGGGAAAGATGTCACCTCAGATCTGACATATACAAAACTTCCTTCCAGCCAGGAAAGACTCAGTTGCTTTTTTTTTTTTTTTTTCTCGAAGGGAAGAGAGTTGGTATTGCCCTTGTCCTGTTTAGACTCTGAAATCCTAAATTGATCCCTATGAAAATTCTGGGTTTGGGAGCCCAAGGAGATTGTTTCTCATTAGTGACATTCTTCCTGGAAGGTCAGGCTAAGGAATGGTAAATAAACCTTCAGATCCAGTGCTTCCTCCTCACCCATGATATTTAAAAGAAAGAAAGAAGGGGGCGGGGAGCTTTGTGCTGTGGAGACCCAGAATCCTGGGCTGACAATCCAAGCTGCAGTCTGGGCTTTGGGGTGAAATTTCTGAGACATTAGGGAGCTATTTTTTCGCTTCTGTTAATTTGATCTGTTTCCTTGGGACAGCCACTCAACCTGTCCGTACCTCAATTTCTCCCCTGGAAAGCGAGAGGAATGATTTTGTAGTTCAGCTTTGATGGAATGAACAAAACAGTGTTTAGACAGATGTTTCTTGAGCCTGCCTCCACCCTGAACCTATATTCCTCTGCTTACGCTCTCTGCCCACCACCCTGGGGTCGGGCTGGGATGGGGGCAGTGAACAGCGAGGTGGGGCTGTGTCTGGGATGTGTCCTGAGTGCCTGGTCTGGCCTGATGCCTGTCTTACTGCCTTTGTGTGAAGGTAAACGGGTTCTGAGGCAAATGCCAACGCAGACCAGCAGAAGTCATTTTGTGGGAGAGTTTCTGGTGAACTCATTCTTGGTGTAAAACAGAAGGAGGCAGGTTTGGACTTCTTGGCAATTCTAATACTCTGATCAATTAATATGGTGCATTCGTTTATTCATCAAACATGTATTGAGTGCCTGCCATGTGCCAGATAGTGGGGCTGCACGGTGAGGACTGAGTCCGAGGACAGAAGCCTTACTCCCAGGGCTTTTCCAGGCTGGCAGGGGAGACACAGGGCAATGGGCACTTAGATCACAGGCTGTGTTGTGCTGGCAGGAAGCACAGGGGCCGTGGTGGCCATGAGATGGGCACCTGTCCCAGCCTTGGGCTGGGGGAAGCTGGTCATGGAACACTTCCAGGTAGAAAGTTGAGCGGGGCTTTACAGGGGAAGGGGGTGTGGAGGGGACAGGCGAGAGAGCATCCAGAGAGAACAGCCCAGA